CCCGTTATGCCAAGTCGCAATAGACACACGCCGTTATGCAAAGCCACAATAGCCACACGCCGTTATGACAACTACACATAACCACATGTCATTGAACAGTGATTAAAACAATGTCACCTTCTGAAGAGAATGTCCAGATTGAGTGGTAATCGTGTATTAATTACTACTGCTTCTCAAAATATTGTTGCCCGCTCTCCTCTATTTTAGTAGAAACTAAAAACCAAAACAGGTCTTGGAAAACTACAACAATTCATTACACGCAACTAATAATAATAATAATAATAATAATAATAATAATAATAATAATAATAATAATAATAATAATAAACCTCTGGTGGCAGCCATGTTTCTTTTTATTATTAGAGGACGCTTACGCGCGTAATCGTTCCATATTTGGAATTCGCATTTCCTAATATGGTAGAATGAAAATACCCCGTTAAATACCGCAAAATTACGGCACGCTGTAACCTATGGCGTTACGGTGACAGATGTATAATAATAATAATAATAATAATAATAATAATAATAATAATAATAATAATAATAATAATAATAATAATAATAATAATAATAATAAGATCAATACTGTGAATGTAAATATATTTAAAATATCCCGTAAAATGCAAGAACATATACGTCCCTAACAACGAGAGTGTATATTACTGTAAAGAGGTTAATTATTCACTTAGTTTTAATTTTGCTTATTTCTCTGACTAGAAAATGCGCTAAATTAAAACCCAGTGAAAATTAGTCATTTTACAGTATTCTCATTCGTAGTGGGCATGGTTATTGGTGGTTGCATAAATAATAGTGCAATTCGACATAGTGACAGTAATTATCAGAACAATCTTTTGATTCCTGGTCTTCATGACGTCACAGTAACAACAAAAAAACACTTGATTTTTGGCCTTCACTATTCGCTCGGTCAATAAAAAACAGAGTACAATTACAATTCAAAACAACTATACGACAAACATGTTAACGACTCTTAAGCGAAAGATCGGACCTTACAATTGCATTTTCAGTGTTCTCACCATGCTTTTTATCCAGAAATATTTTTTTCGAAATCCTGGATAAAAAGCAAAAAGCGAAAAAAAAGTATTTATGATATACTATTAAAAATACATACACAGGACAGTTTATCCTCGTCAATATACCACTCATTTGCATAGGGTCTTTCGTAAGTTTGGTGTGTATACTTGAAAAGTTCATCAGATAAAAGTTCGTTAAATTAACTGCAATTTACATGAGCTGACTCATGGATAACTGATATAAAATATACATACATTTATGTTTGGAGTCATTGTTCTGTGTTTATTAAAATATTTCACCATGTCAGATCACACATTAAAGCGCGGTATTCGTTGCGCTGCGCATGTGCGAAATTTGTGTTGATTAACATTGATTTTCCCACAATCCAATGCGCACTTCAAATGGAAATCACAAGTACAAGGTTTGATCTGGGCGCGTTACATTGTTATGCACTGTTTACCACCGGTAACTCTTTCGATACCTTCCAATCACATGAAAATTACCTAATTAAAGCTTGGAAACGTCTCAGTTCGTACTCGTTGATCAACGCAATAGTCAAAGTCGGCATTTTTATTTATATAAAACCCATATATCTCGCACATGCGCAGAGCGACGACTACCGCACTTTAAACAACTTAAATTGATCTTCACTTAACCCCTGATTAAATGTTGAAAATAATTTCTGATTTTTCATCGAATGCAACATTCTGTGTTTCACCTACATTGTACTTGTCACCGATCTGTGACGATTTCGCTAAATATTTCAGCGTGTTTGAAAGAATACTGACATGACGCGCACCTAAATATACACCGTATTGCAAGTAGTCGTGTGTATGTATATCAATTTGAGAAATTCGTCAATTATGTATTTTGATCGGTTGCTGTCCTCGCTATGATGTACCTAATTTAAAAGGTTGCTTGTTTTATACGACATTTTCCTGTCAGCCACGCGTCGCGAATAGCAGATAACGTTAAAACGGCGACACCGTTCACAGCAATATCGCATACACCTACAGAAATTCCACCATAATAATGCCACCCCTTCGTCGAGCAATGTACTCGCTTTCGGCCGGAAAATACAATTTAGATACATAGATTGTGCAGGATTTGAAAATAAATATCCAACAGACAAGTTAGATGCAGTAGCCAAACAACACCTAGGGGATATGTTAATATTTAATATCTTGAAAACTAGTGTGGAGTTTGTCGTCACTTAACTGATAACATACAGGTGAAGGTAACGTAGTTATTTCACAGTCTTTCTCCATGTCTGTTCCAACACTGTAAATGTGAATGACTCGTATATCACTAGAATATAATGCCAGACTCAAATATATATCGACGCTTTTAGAATAATTATATAATAGATGATTGTACTTCTTCAAAAGATATTAAAAGCAGAGTGGGTGAAATAACAAAAGTATGATGTAGTGAAAGACATGAATATTTTTAACATTTTCTTAACAGAACATTTTGTATTGTAAACCATTTAGAGAACACACTGTTACACTATTATCGAATGTAGTGGAGGGTGTTAATGTAATGTACAAGTCTATAGACAGGTAGAAGGTGGCATCCGAAGCTTAACTGAATTTATAGTAAGTACATATCTATTTGGCCGCGTCAATTTTAAAACGATGGACAGGTAATCAGTGTAAGACGCCAACAATCGAACGAACCCGTATTGATTATCGCTGATAGTATTATGAAAATGTCTATAAATTTGTGAAAAAACAACTTACTTGAAATGTGTTTATTTAATATGAGAAGCAGAGAATTTGGACGGTAGTTACAGACCTATTGAAGGTTATTTTAGAGGCAAAGCAAGCTCTATGTAAAAACAACTTTGCCAACAAAGTGCGAATGGTTTCTCATGTAGTTAGCTGGAATTTGAGAATGGCATTCGTACCCACATTACACTCTACATTAGTTGGATTAAACCTGAATTAAAAAAAAAGTTTCGTACATATGACATTTAATTAAGCCATCCTTATTTTACGTAACACCTCTAAAATGGCATGTATGATAATGTCCCAATGCTACAATGAGGTAATACCACGTTGTAACAAACAACCAAACCAAAGCATGCAAAAATATCATACACATTGCTTATGTATTACTAATTGAAATATCATGACAACAATCAGAACCGCCGTGGGGTTACAATTTAAATAAAAGAATATTATTAAACACAAATTAAACTCCAATTTAAACTGTTTAAATCAGCAGTGTAACCACGTGTTACCACCGCAAACGCCCAGTCCTATGCAGCAGGAACCTTGTTTTATTATCTTCATGATCTAAGTCCCAAGACGGGTGATGAAACGTAATGTTTAAAACCCTAGCCCACTTCTTGAAGATGTATTTTTCAGTATGGAAACGATGTCCCTCAAGAAGACCGTATTCATGTAATCGAGAGAAGACACATTCTTTGGGACCTGACGCGTCAAAGTAGTGGTAAGGCATATCGTTTATAAGCGTAACACTGAAAACACACAATAACAAAAATATTATTAATAACCTTACACTGCCATGCCAAGCTAAACATAACCACACACCGTCATACCAAGCCAAACATAACCATACACCGTCATGCCAAGCTAAACATAACCACACACCGTCATGCCAAGCCAAACATAACCACACACCGTCATGCCAAGCTAAACATAACCACACACCGTCATGCCAAACCAAACATAACCACACACCGTCATGCCAAGCCAAACATAACCACACACCGTCATGCCAAGCCAAACATAACCACACACCATCATGCCAAGCCAAACATAACCACACACCGTCATGCCAAGCCAAACATAACCACACACCGTCATGCCAAGCCAAACATAACCACACACCGTCATGCCAAGCCAAACATAACCACACACCGTCATGCCAAGCTAAACATAACCACACACCGTCATGCCAAGCTAAACATAACCACACACCGTCATGCCAAGCCAAACATAACCACACACCGTCATGCCAAGCCAAACATAACCATACACCGTCATGCCAAGCCAAACATAACCACACACCGTCATGCCAAGCTAAACATAACCACACACCGTCATGCCAAGCCAAACATAACCACACACTGTCATGCCAAGCCAAACATAACCACACACCGCCATGCCAAGCCAAACATAACCATACATCGTCATGTCAAGCCACACAGAACCACACACCATCATGCCAATCCAAGTATAATCGCACACCGTAATGCCAAGCTAAACATAACCACACACCGTCATGCCAAGCCAAACATAACCACACACCGTCATGCCAAGCCAAATATAACCACACACCGTCATGCCAGGCCAAACATAACCACACATCGTCATGCCAGGCCAAACATAACCACACACCGCCATGCCAGGCCAAACATAACCACACATCGTCATGCCAGGCCAAACATAACCACACACCGCCATGCCAAATATAACCACACACCGCCATGCCAGGCCAAACATAACCACACATCGTCATGCCAGGCCAAACATAACCACACACCGCCATGCCAGGCCAAACATAACCACACATCGTCATGCCAGGCCAAACATAACCATACACCGCCATGCCAAGCCAAATATAACCACACACCGCCATGCCAGGCCAAACATAACCACACACCGTCATGCCAAGCCAAACATAACTACACACCGTCATGCCAAGCCAAACATAACCACACACCGCCATGCCAAGCCAAACATAACCATACATCGTCATGCC